ATTGGAGTAGAAAAAGTACCTCCCTCTACCATAGTAATACTGCTCTTGGTCAGCAATCATAGTGATGGTGCAGGATTGTAGAATTGCCCTCAAGATACCAGAAAAGAGAATAACCGGTACACTCCAATATTGCTGATAATGCATTTTAAAAGCTAATATCTATGTATTACCAGACTAAAATGCTGTGAATCAGCTTGTTGTGCTGTTATTTAATCATTCTTTGGAAGGAGACTTCATGGCTATCATTAAACACGTTATTGTGCTATGCAAAGAACAGCTCTAGATAGCACAAACCAGGGCTGTAACATTTTCTGAAGTTGATAATCTATTATTTACCAGATTTTTATTGATCTGGGAATTCCATAACCTTCACTTACCCATACAAATAGTCACTGATCTGATCCAACCTTTGATCAAGAAAGCAAGAATTGCAGAGCAAAATAAGGGATAAGGTACTGTGCATTTTACAAAATCATAGTTTTAGCACCACCTGGTGGCTAACTGGATCTTGTTCCCCAATAAAATGCAAGAGTGCCAAATACCCAAAGATCATCAGTTCAAAAAACTCAAAACTGTTCTTATTAACACCACAAAATAATAATTCCTAAAGCGAAAGACACCAATCTAGCAAATATAGATACAATAGTTCTATTTATATGGAAAGATAGGCCACCAAAAATTTAATTTTCTAAACTGAGAAATTTGTTAAAGGTGGTTTTCAATTATCAGACTTAAAAATATTACATTACCATCTGTATTTATGTGGGATGAGTTAACTGAATTGGGCTGACTTGGAAAGTTATTACTTATTTCCATTAAGATCTTGGCAATTACTTGGATCATAGAGCAAAAAGCAGCTTTTCTTTTGTAGTTTGAGGGCATATACTCAGGCCCTAAAATATAGATGTAGTTAGATTTTGTTGGGAGATTTCATGATTAGTTAACTTCAAACTCTTACTTTAATTTATTTGAAAAATAGGTGCTAAAATATTTTGTTAAAAAATAATGGGCAGTCTGGAATGGTAATTTAAAATCAGTTGATTTTGAATGATTATTTTAAGGAATGTCAAAAAACTACAGATTTCCCTAATTCACAACAGCAATATAATTGACTGAAATGTTTGATAGTTCAATTAGATCAGATCCCCTAATCTGACACGTCTCATTTGTTGTGAAATTGACGTCATCTTTATCAGAAACTAAATTTTAAAATTGGAATTGTTGACATTTATGATTTATAGAAGAGTTGGAATTTGTTAACACTGTAATGGGACATCAATGGATACTTAAGAAATGTTAAATTCATTCTTTGGACTCGAGGTTGAAATTATCAAAATATTTTGAGTTTATTGGTGCTCCAAACAATCTATCAGAGAAGTAGATATTGTATCTAATGTGGATATTGTTTGTTCATGATGTAAGATGATGTAATATTGACACTTTTTCGCAAGGCCCTTAAGACATGGTTCTGCCTATGGGCCAGGGGACCTGAGTGATACGGGAACTTTCAAATGGTTTGTCTTGACTGTTAGTGCCAGCAGGATGGGGCTTTGTTGTTTTTTTGCACTGGGTTTTTATCTTTGTAAGCTGCCCCAAGTCACCATCAGTAAGTTGGGTGGTCATATAAATTTTCTTAGTACATAAACAATAAATTTGAGAATATGTTAAGCCATGTCTCCAGCAGATGACTTGGGGCCCTGTTGGGGAACATGAATTAAGAGGCAATCCTACCCACCCTGCCCTGGGCATCCTGCTCCCCCCTCCCCATCTTTTAACTATATTTCTATTTTTCATTGTAATTTCCATTTTTATTGTTTTAGAAGTATTTATCTTGTGTGATTTTAATGCTTTTAATGCTGTAAGCTGCCCAGAATTGCTTCGAATTGAGATAGCCAGCAAATAAATTTAATAAGCACATATAAGATGAGTTGGTAATATTGTCATATTAGAGATGTAAATGCCATTTTGAAATATATCTCACCTCTGAAGAGCAACATGCTTTTTTGATAAGTTATAAATTATTCAAACATTTTTGCATTTTATACTTTATTTCTGTAATGCCATGTCTGTTCTAGAGGAAAACAAATTTTTGCTTTGTGTCTTCCACAAGCTTTAGAAAATCCAGATGATGTATATTCCTTTTAATCATGATCAGTTGTAAACATTTACATCTATTCCTCATGTAGCCTTAACAACCACTCATTCTGCGATCATTCAAACTTACAACAGCGGTGAATCAATGGTACTTTTAAGACCCATTCTCATACTTACTATGGTCGTAACATCTCCATGGTTATGCAATCATAATCTGGGCATTCAGCAACCAGTTTGCAATTACAATGTCATGGCATCCCATGGTTAAGTGATTGCCATTTGCGACCTTCTTTGCTGAATTCCTACAGGCAATGAGAAAACTGGCATGGGGTCACAAATGGTGACCATGTGATGTCTTCAATTAATAACCTGGGGGGATTTGCTTAATGACAAACTGGAAGTGCTGGAATGCTCTTTGCTAAGCAATGTGATCATGTGATATCAAACTTTATGACTGAATTGTTTAACAGTAGAAATTCTGGCTCCGGTTACCATTATTAAGTAAAGACTATATGTAGCTACAGTCCAACATTACACATGTCTTATTAAGGTACATGCATTGATTTACTTGCTGTAGTTTTTCACTATTTTTGTATGCTTTGCAATTGATCCATTTGCCCAGCCATAACTACCTTGATATTTGATAAATTCATTTTCAGAATCCACTGAAGGTACAGGCTTTGCACAATGCAACCTTCATTACAACTTCAGATGTCAATGGACCATTTCTTCAGAGCAATGGAATGTTTTTTGCACCAAATGTCAAAATTGATTGCTTCAGTGGCCTGTATTAAAGCTTTGCACACAGCTATGCAAAAATGTACTGCTTCTTATCGTATTTCTGATGTCTATTCCACAATACATCATACAATTTAACATTTTCTGCAAATCATTTGGGTTCTCAGCCAACCAATCATCATCTGTATGCTCATGTCCCCAACCAAGTTACCTCTACTGTATTATCAAAAACATTCCTTATACACAGATGTTAATACATTAAATCACCAAAACATTCTATAAGCATTTATTATCAAATGTGTTTTACTTCTGTCATAATAGCTTACCTCCCAGTGGAGACTTTCAGAAATAAACTGGACAACCATTTGACTTGGATGGTCTAAGATCTCCTGCCTTGAGCAGAAGATTGTACTAGAAGACCTGGCAGTCTCTTCCAGACCTATTATTCTATACCAGGCATGTCAAATTCACATCACATGACGTTGCACAACGTATCAGGCCTGTTTTGTCTTTGCCGGCAATGGAGTGGGTGCGGCTTCCACGGGCCGGCAGTTTGACACCCCTGCTCTATACATTATAGAGTATACTCTATACTCTATATATACTCTATACTGTAGTCATTCAGTAAGAGGCCTCCTTACTCAAAGTATTCCATAATTCAAGCCTATTGACTTTTTATATATTTTCGCTATATTAACAAATATACAATGTTATTTGTAAGAATTTGCAGGAATGTGGGAAGAAGAGATTTGATAGCCTGTTGAATTCCTCACACATCCTTGCCTTGCCTGCACTACCCTTTTGTAATTCTGCTCGTCGATTATGTTTCTTGGAGAATTTTGCCAAACAGCGTCCCATTGACAAATTAACACCCTGTAGTTTTTGTATTTTGTATTTTGTACAGCTGTTCCATAAGCACACCAGATATATTATTCTGCTTACACAATCTACATCTGCAGATTTTATTTTTCAATGTTCTAGCATGTATGCTCCTTTTCAAAAAACATTTCTTGGATACTACATCATCAGGGTTCCATACAAATTTCCAAAAATATTTCTTCCAACATTCCTTCATTTGCTTGTTGCAAAACATTTCACCAACTTAGTTTCTATTAATTTTATTAGAGGCTCCTCTTCATTCACTTCCAGACATTTTTATTTCCATCAAAATTGCTCAGGATTCTCTCTTAATCTTGACTGTTTCTTGTTCTTGACTGATTCTCTGAACCTTTTCTTCGTAGCCATATTGTGCAATAATTCTCTCATCCATATATTTTGCAGCCATTACAGGTAGCCCTTGACTTACAACCATTCATTTAGTGATTCTTCAAAGTCATGACAGCACTGGAAAAGTGACTTGCAAGTGATACTCATGGTCAGGTGATCAAAATTAAGGTGCTGGGTAACCAGCACGTATTTATGACTGCTGCAGTGCCCCAGGGTCATGTGATCACCATTTGCAACCTTCCCAACTGGCTTCCAATCAACAGGTCAATGAAGGAAGCCAAGCTGGCTTAATGACTACATAAGTCACCTAACAACTGCAGTGAATCCCTTAACAACTCTGGCAACAAAGGTCATAAAATAGTAGGAAGCTCACTTAATAACTGCCTTGCTTAGCAATGGAAATTCTGGTCCCAATTGTGGTTGTATGCCGAAGACTACCTATATTCTGCACTTCTCGTCCAGAGCCTCTTCATCATTCCACCAAGTTTCCCTTAAAGAAAAAAATGCTGATTTCTGTGAAAATATTCGTTTGCATAGCAGAATCAAAGAATTTGTTTATCAAAAATCTAAATATTGCAAGTATAGGCAAGTTGTTAAATTTTATAGTTTCTACAAAGTGACTGTTTTCCATTTTAAAGCAGAGACCGAATAGGAAACCATAAACTAGATATTATATAAAATTTATAGAAGATACTGCATCCACCCTTACTCCTGAATTCTAAATAACTAATCAGGAAGCTAATGTTCTATTTTAGAGGCAGAACAAACCTATTTGTTGTGCATGACACAAAATAGCCACAATTCATTCTGAAAAGAAAATTATCTTGAATAACAGATAATTTAGATGAGTATATTCAGTGGAATGTTTCAAAATTCTAAGAATTTTTATTTTGTACACGTTGGATAGATCCAGCCCAAGAAATAAACTTTCTGCATCGGAATAATTTATCAAAATAATATTTATTTTCCCCACAAGGATCAGAACCAATTTTGTAGGATCCAGATTCCTGGGTCTTGCAGCATCCAAATAAAGCTTTTGATTTACACCACTTCCATAAAATTTGGAACTGAAGCAAGTCTTTTCATAATTACTGTAGAATAAACTGCTAGAGAATTACTGCTTTGTTTCAAGAAGTAGAACTGTAACAGTTCAGGAAATAGATGTTTTAGTGCACTTTTGTTAACAGACATGCTTCCCTGTATATTGTCTGTGCACAAAGTGAACACTCAAAATTTCCATTGTAAAATAAATCTGCCTCAGTGAGCAACATACTGAGTCAAGCTGCCATTTTATCCCTTACACCTGCACAGTTTTAAGACAAAACTTTTGCCAAATATTACATAATCTTTTTTATTATTATTAAATGAGAAAATCTCATTTTCTTACATTATCACATTGCTAGTCAGAGAAATGCTGCAGTGATGAAGAAAGGCAATGTGGAAAAAAGTTCTCATTTCTACAACATCCATTTACAAAGAAATTAAAAATCAGGTTCAACACAGCTCATTAGCATAACAATCTTAGGTTCCTTCGTGAGGAGTCCCAAAGATCCTCCTTCTACTGGTGCATATCACTACATAAGAGTATAGTTCTCCTTTTTTCAACATTTCTGAAATTGCATGAGATGCAGTACAAATCGTCAACTCTTCACACATCATCATCATCTGACGTGTCACTGCTGCTTGTCTCTGTATCTTCATTCTCAAGCATTGCTTTGAAAGTGCTGTTTTTCCAGGGGTTGAACTTGAAGTCACAGATGAGACCATTTTTTAGAATACAATTTTTTCTGAGGCCATTTTTTTGCAACTGAAATAGAAAACAAACAGAATTAGCACTCTCAAAATGACAAAGGATCTTCACTTTTGGGGTTTTATACTTGTCAACAAAATATAGCTTTATATATTTTAATAATATACAGCTTTGTTTTAATTTTGAGGATCTGTGAATCTTTTGGTTGATTATTGTGCAGTAAGCCAGGATTTAGGTATAATTTTTTCACTTAGAGCGGAAAATAGTAATTAAAATATCCTTCTAGTGTACAAAATTGAAACTCCTTCAAGTAAGGAATGATAATCACTACTCTTATCTTCCAGTCTTGTAGGAAGGGCAAGAGTTGAAATAAGTAAGAACAAACTCAAGTTTAATGAACCAAAAGGAAATCTCACAAGAGTAGATTAAGTTCTGACTGAGCCCCAATCAGACCAGAAGGGAGAAATAATGGGAGTAGACTATAATTGAAGTATTTGAGTACAAGTAGTCCTTGACTTAAGACTATAATTGTGACTGGGTTTTCTGTTGTAAGTTAGTAAGGTCATAAAGCGAGATATGGAACCAGACCCAATTTAATGAGTATTTTTACTGTGGTTGTTAAGTGAATCATATAGTCATTAAGCAAATCATGTAGTCATTAAGTGAATCCAGCTCCTCCAATTGACATTGTTGGTGGGGAAAAGGGCTGGGAAGGTCACAAATTGCAATCATGTGACTGCAGAATACTACAACTGGTGATAAATGTAAGCTGGTTGACAAACAAATTATGATCACATGATTATGAGGCTGGTATGATCATAACTACAAGAATAGGTTGTAAATCAATTTTTCTGACACCTGTATAACTTTGAACCATCATTAAATAAAGGACTTATAGGTAAACAAGAACTTAGATATAGGGGAGGACAGGCAGCTATCCATGCTTGTTTTGAATCTGCAAGGTGGCAATAAAACTTAGGTGGATATCTGGTTTTCATTTTCATTTCTATGTTTATCATCACAAACATAATAATGTCCACTGATATTATTAAAATGTGATAGGCACTAGAGAAAGCCTAATAGAAGATAGGTCAGTTAACTGCTACAACGGTCGAAAGAGAAGGAAGAATTGTGAAGCAAGAAAAATGGAATATTAACCACTCTACTGAATAGTTGAGAGGGTCAGTTACTATTTTGCATTTCAAACCAATGACTATTTCCTTCTAAAAGAATTGTGCACACTTAAAATATTATAAAATAATGCTTTGCTTCTTGAAGAGCCATTACACTCTTTTCCTACTGAGACTTCTATGCATTTTAGGTACAATCCTCAGGCTACTTAAAAATTGTCCATTATTGATTTACTGTAACATGTAAGCAGAAACTTTGTTCCTCTCTCCTCTTCATGGTCTGAAATTGGTTTATTTAGCTAATTAGAATTTTATTTAAAATTAATTATCCTAATCCACGTATCAAGACATAACCAGATTGAGAGTTAGAATCCTGGTTTATTTCAAAGAAAGGGCAAGTCAACTGCTTTCTCAGGTTTTTTTCATGTGCTGCCAAAATATAATTCAGCACGTGTGTAAACCCTTCTAGAATTTCACAATAAAGCATAGAAAATTAAATAGATCAGGCTTCACTGGCTTTGAAATCTTCAAATGTTATACCAACAACAGGGTACAGAAATTAACTTTAGGAAATATTAAGCAGATATACTGATCTATACTTTGCTATAGAAAATGTTTTACTCTGAACACACATTTTGGGCTAATTTATCTTACCTGTTCACTAATGATCTGAAATTCTCTCATTTCATCCTCAGTTAGTGGAGCACAAGTGTCATCATTTTCACTGTCTTCCTGCCAACCCATTTCCTTTAACAACCTTTTAAAAAAGGGAGAAGGGTCAATATTTTTTATTAGATTTATATCCTGCCTTTTAGTAAAAGCTTAAGGTGGCATACATGTAGGCATGTAAAGCCAATTAAAAACTCCATAATGAGCCTCAGACTCAATTTAGTTACCCGAAAGAGGGACATTTACAACATTTATTTGCAAGACTTTTCTACTTAGAAAAAATCTCAAAAATTCATGAACCTGTAGAAAAAATGCATCTACCTGTCCAGCTTGATATTTTCCCCTTATGTTAAATACAAGATTCAGAAAAACATTTCATCATAATTTTTTCAAAGTCAAATTACAGAAGTTAGGAAACCTCCCCTATTCCTGCTCTATTTCTACAGAGCCCATCTGTAAATTGAATTGCACATCAGGGATTTAGGTCTTTAAAATATTCTCATAAATTATTTTGTGAAGCATTACATTATGCTCAGAATTAAGAAAAATGCAGATTCCTGCTCCTATTTTGATTATATATTTTGTTTATCTTGACTTTTCTTTAAAAAATGAAATAACTAAAATAATAATTTAAAGATAAATTATTCTAATAAATGGTCCACAGATAGCTTTTTGTTTTTTAAATTATGGCCAAATGTAGTTTAATGTAGAAAGGAAGAAAGGGCTGGTTTATCTAATTAATAAAAAAATTAAAAATGCATGGCTTCTGTAGTCTTCTAAAGAACAAAAAAAAAAACAAATGGAAAGGATATATATATTCATATATAAAATAAACTTTACATTAAAGTTGAAGTAAAAAATGTGATTACTATAAAACGAATTTAGAAAAGTAAAACAAACACCCACCTAAAAGGGGGGAAAAGACATTATAGAAAAAACCATTCTAGTACACACTTTTTCCCCTTATAGTTGCTAATTGTTATTTCATTTACCGTAAATGCCGGCGTATAAGGCGACTTCCACGAGCGCTGAAATCGGCGCCAAAGACGGGGGTTGTCTTATACGCCGAGTCGTCTTATATGCCGGAAATACTGGTAGTTTACGGCGTATAAGACAACGTTCTAGGAATGCGGCTCGGCGATAAAGACGGGGGTCGTCTTATACGCCGGGTCGCCTTGTACACCGGCATATACGGTAAGTATATTTTATACTATGCTATCTGTTATTATTTCTCATTTCTTCTTAAGTTATGTGTTAGATAAGAAATTCTGTACCCAAATTATTCAACTCTTATTAAAACAACTCAATCCTGTATAATAAACATTAAAAATTTTCTGTCTCTTACCAATGAATAAAATTATTTTAATAAAACCAAAACACTTACCGATGTTCAGCCTCAAGTGAACTCGAAAGGACATCAGTCTGCGGAAATGCTGAAGACTGGACCATCTGCTGAGGATTCTCATTTTCAAAATTCCGGTTTACGTCCCTCCCTTGGTGGCCACTGTTGCTGTTATGTAAATTAAATTCATCATCATCATCATCCTGTTAAAGAAGTCACATATCTGAGTAAATTCCAAAAAGAAAAAAAATTTACAAATAGTAAGTTGTAGACAAGTTTGGAAAATGTCAAAATTAGGAAAGGCTAAACTTTGTCCCTAAGAATATGCAGATATTTGAATTGGACTTGGGAAAGTGCTTTAGAGCCTACATACCTAACTGTTGCTGTTGCTGTACCTAACAGCAACATTTTAAAGGAACTTTGCCTTTTCTTGGTCTTGCACAATTGCAGTCCCAGGAAAATATGCGTTCAATAAACATTAATGAATCAGACCCGTACCAGGTCAAAAGCACCTTCCCCACTTTACAGGTGAATATAAGAGCTCTCTGGTAAAAATCCTGAATGTACAGCAAAGCAATTAATAATTGCTTTATCTGTTCTTACAAATATAAGCAAAAACTAAGTTACAGGTAGTCCTTTAGAATCAAACGTAACGGAGCCTGCCCCATTACGGCTGCATGTCGCAACAGTTGTTAAGTGAAATAGCTGCACATAACGACCCCATTCCATGCTCTTCCTGATGCAGAGTGTCATTAAATGAAGTACAGGGTGCCTCGGTGTGGGGGAGGCCCTGAGAAGCCTGCACAGGGCAATGGTTGCCTATCTCAAACCTCACAATGCTATCCCCACCCCAAGGCATCCTGTGTTCTGTTTCTCACTGGGGTTCCTACAGTCCTTCAACTTCCTTTCCCATGCAGCAGGCAAAGGGAGATCAGGGCAAACAGAGTTTGGAAACTCTGGCAAAGAAGGAAAAAGCAAAGCACACTGGGAGTTTGCAAACTCTGGCAAGGAAGAGGACACCCCACCCAAGGACTTGCAGGACTCAAGCCTGCTTCAGGGCACAGCTGTTTTTTCAGCTGCTAAGAGAAGCACTAGGCCCTGAAAGGTTCAGTTTCTTACACAGTCAGTTTCCTGGGAAATTCCTCTTATTTTGCAATAGGTTCAATTCTGGTGATACTTCAGAGTATTTTTTTTTTTTAAGGAGGCTCCATAAACCGCATAACCAAATGGAACCTTCTTTTTTAAAAAAATGGAGCCTTCTTTAAAAAAAAACTCTACAGTATCGCAAAAATATGTAGGATCAGCAACATAGCAAGCACACAAGTAACCTATTTGCTTTTATTTTACCATTTGTTTCTCTTTACTACTTTACATTTTTCATTGTTCCTATGTACAAAATAACTCTAAACCAGGCATGTCAAACTGCCGGTCCATGGGACGGATGCGTCACAACGAAACTGCACACACCCATTGCCGGCAATGGGGGGAAAGTCACAATACGTTGCACATCACAGGACGACGCGAGTTTGACATGCCTGCTCTAAACACATAAGCTTTCTTAGAAGTATGCTTATCAGCACAGAAAAAGGACAAAATTAAGCAGTACTGCTGCTTGTTTTCCCAATCCTTATGAATACTCACATCGTGCTGTCACAATTCTACCTTTAAAAACCAAGGGTCCTTGAGTTAAAGGCTAGATTGTGACTTAATAAAATCACATATATGCTGCTAATGCATACCCATTATTATGTAAATCCTAAACATGCTACACATATTTATTCAGAAGTCTCACCAAGTTCAACTGGGATCACTACCACAAAGTTGTGCAAAGGACTATAACTATAAAGTATTATAACTAATTACTGATATTATGCATACATTGCCTTTTTATTCCCTAACATTTAACTAGGGTTTTTTTTATAATTTATGCTATTCTTTTTGGTTTGCATTCTGGTTTAACATTTTATGATGTGAAGAAGCAATAAACAAACACTACTAGGAACTTACGTTCCTTAGCGATGATAGAAAAATAAGTAATGGAAAAAACAAACATATTCCCCACACAACTTGTTGTACCTTCTCTTGCTCAACACAATTTTCATCATGTTCTTCCACTGGATCCCGTTTTAACATCTTCAAAAATTCACTCTTCTTATCAGTGCGTGTGCGTGTTAATTTGGTTAAACGAGGCTGGCCAAGTTTATCAACTGGAGATAAGGAATTTGACCGATTACACTAAAGAGAAAAAGAAATATAATGAGTAGCAAAAAATTCTGTTCCTTTTAGGTAGCATAGATGTTTTAGATCTTCCATTTAATTTTTCAAAATTGTGATAGAGACATACTTTGACAAAAAAAAAAAAGTACCTCTTTCACTGACTTGTGTGATCCAATAGGCTTGGCAGTAGGTTTTAAAGCACTAAAATTTCCACTACCATATGCAGAGTCATGAGGAAATGAAGAAGGCCCAGTTTTGTTCTCTTTTGTTTGGCTTTTCCACTGTGTGATCTAAATGTATCAAAATAGTAGATTTTTAAACTCAAGTTGAGAAACAACTTAGTATCCAACAATAACTTAACTGTTCTTTACTTTTATTTTCCTTAACAACATAATATACTGGTATTTTAAAACAACAAAGATAAGAGAAAGTCCCTATACTGGGGAAGACCAGACAGCCATTTGTCCGAAATGGTATAGGGTTTCCTGCCTGAGCAGGGAGTTGGACCAGATGACTTCCAAGGTCCCTTCCAACTTTACTATTATTATTATTATTATTATTAAATAAAAGGAAGAGCCAGAAATGAATGGTAGACATCCCTGTAATGTCCACATTTGAGTAAAACTAAGTTGATAAATATATGCAATTTCATATTACAGTACTGTTACAAAGTAAGATCAACATTGCAAAGAAAGTCCCTAAGGCATCCACTTTTCAGGCCTTGCTGTACTTTCCAATAGGAAGATATCCCCCAGACCCACCCCCAGAGCTTGTGAAGCATGTACTTAGGTGTCTTCTTACATTCACTGGGAAAACAAGAAGGCATGTTGAAAAAGCAGTGGATTGGCAAAGGTAGAAATGGCTAGAGGTGGTCCTAAACTTATGTCCAGCTGCCTAGCAACTGTTTCAAATCACAGCAGACCCCTGAAAAAGGGATTTACAATCCAAATTTGAAATTCCAACCTTCACTTTTCCCCCATGGTCACTTGACTGCATTCTGAGCACTCAGCTATTGACCCGCATTTACAGCTATAATCATGGGACTGTGATTCATGTTTTTGCTGGAAATCGGCATTTATTTCCATTTTCTGGCAAAAACTGACGCATAGTGAACAGTGTATTTATTTAACAACTGTCACATTTGCTTAACAGCTGCCTCAAAACTGGTCATAAAATCGGGTCTGGTCACATCATGACCTGCTTTACAACCATCAAGACGTATAACTGAAATTGTGGCCTCAATTATGGTCATACATCAAGGGCTAACCAACCATACAGTAACAGAGATGGAAAAGCACAGATTCCTTTGAAGCCTAGCATCACAATTAGCCATCACATAGGAGCACAGGGGACATTTGCCTGGTGAACTAAATGCATTTTGTAATGTCTAAGCAGGGCTTTGCTCCCTTTCTCATCCATCTGTTATTTTTCCATCCAGATTTGTTCTCCACTTTTCCTTTCTAGCATAGCCACTGTTTCTCCATTCCATCACCACTCTGCCCCCTCCCCTTCTTTGCCGTTCATGCAAGTGAGAATGATTTCCACATGTATGAGAATGACCCTCCTCTTCTTCTCTGTGATAGAATTGGCAGCTCTGTTTTTAAAAGGTGGAGAAGTTGGATTTTTATCTGCTTTTTATTTTTAGTAAGTACAGTATTTTCAAATCTTACCTTTGCTGGTGGAATAATAGGTTTAGGAACTAAACCTTTGTAGACATTCAGGCCAGTTCCATTCCCAACCAATTGTGATGAATGAATATTTCCTCCCACAGGAAATCCAGATATCTGCAAATCTTTTGTATTGCCTTTTTTAATAATCAGCATTCGCGGGGATCTAGATTTAGGATTTAGAGGGTATTCTACAAAGACACAAAAAATATATGTCATTCTAGATCATGGCTACATTTAAATCAAGAAATACGGTAGTTCAGGGTCATATAGTCCCCAACATACAATCACAACTGAGAAAAAAAATTCCATTGTTAAGTAAGACAGTTAAGTCTTGCTTCATTTTACAACCTTTCCTGCCACGGCTCTTAGGTGAATCACTGCAATTGTTAAGTTAGTAACATGGTTGTTAAATGAATCTGGCTTCCCCATTGACTTTGCTTGTCAGAGGGTCGCAAATGGTGATCACATGAGCCCAGGACACGGCCACCTGCCAAGCACCTGAATTTTGATTATGTGACCATGGGGATACTGGAACAGTTTTAAATGTGAAAAATGGTCATAAGTCACTTTTTTGAGTGCTGTTGTAACTTCGAACAGTTACTAAATGAATGGTTGTAAATAGAGGACTACTTGTATAGAGTTGTTGAAATACTTTACATAAAGTATTTGCATTCACTGATATACTTTGATTAGACCTAGACACAGCAACGGCTATATCTAAAAACACAGAACTTAATAATTTTCCTCCAATTAATAAGTCCCAACAAATTAGGAATCAAAATGATTACTCAGAAACAAGAGGAATATCTGAACACTCTTGAAAACCAATGTGTGCAGAAATATTCAAAAGAAAAAAAATTAAAAATCCAAACCATTAATGAGAATTAGCATGGAAAGCAGCCCTGCAACTCAAACTGTAAGCAATTCAAAATAAAATGAAGAATAGGATGTTGTGATTATATAATGCTGCATTTTGTTGCAAATCTCGTATTTATTTTCAGTATCAAACTTGTCTCTTAGCATGCAAATACATGAATAGCCAAAGGGGGACAAACACACCCAAGCCTAATTCTGTATGAATAGCACTTATGTACTAACTGATATATAGCAACATTAAGAACTATTAGAAAAAGCAAGATATACCAAAAATTTGGGTAGGGGCAACTTGTGATACACACATATAAATACTAGCTTTGTTTTGAGAAAAATGAAGCCTTCAAAGACATTACTGTGGAAAGTCAGCAATATAAATTACCAGTTATTGAGACAAAAAAGTAAAAGCCTCGAATAGACTTAATTTTTAAAGACCCCTAAGAACATTCTCAAAGGCCCCCAAGTACTAAGAAAAGTCTGTAAATCCTAAAATGTACATATGCATACTCACATACTCGTGCATACACATATACATGCATACCTACTCCAGTACAATGAAATGTTTACTTTAAACACAAGGCAGTACTGCAATCCAAAATCCTAAGTTACAAATATTACTTCAGAGGCACATGCTAAAAAATTAGTTAATATGGTTTGTATAATATAAAATAATATCTTAATGCTCTTACCCCAAACACCTTCAGCTAACGATTTACTCTGGTTTGGTTCTCTCTCATGTTCAGGATTCAGGGATGGCTAAAACAACAAATCCACAGCTTGATTAGTTTTAAGTTCCATTAGAAAATGTCTCATAGAAATCTCATTTTCCAGATTGCAAGAAGCATTATCAAAGAACTCTGAATCAGTAAGAGGAGGTAGTGAAGTCAGTAAACTAATCATACTAGTCAGGTAGAAAGTATAACCACAGCGAAGCTATAATCTAATTGATTTTATATTGGGCTGCAAGGTAAACATCAAATATGAGAACAGGATGGGACTATAACACTGAACTTAGTAACTTAATAACACTTAAGTCTAATGGTAACATGGCTACGTTTGGAGAGTATTTCCTTGAGCATGAGGTTGGATGACAAGACACAACTTCCAAGGAGATTATTTTTTTGAAATTCTCTTAGAATGAAGGCACCTTGTGTTTAAAGAAAGGCAGTTACAGCAAGAACAGCTTTCTTCAAACAAAACCAAGAAGGTAAGTTGAGTGTTTCTGGGCTCTGGAGCAGGCTGAGTCCTGAAAGTCCTTGGGTAGGAAGAAAGCTGGAGGGTTGCAAACTCCTTGCTTGCTGGATGGGAAGGAAGAAAGAGGCTTGCAAGCCCCAGTTGATTTATCCCAGCAACAGCCAACTGGTTTCTCTTAGGTAGATGAGTAGCTATAGGAACCCAGCAGGGTGGGATGGCAGGAGAGTGGGGGTGAGCACTGCAGTATCCCTGCAGTCGGTCATAAGAGTGAATGACTGCGGGGGTGCTACAGCATTTTAAGTTTGAAACCAGATTGTAAACAGCTTTGGGGCAGTCTATCATAAATTCGAATAGTCACTACGCGACCTATCATAAGTCAAGGACTACCTGTAATATCTTCCCAATATCAAAAACCAACAGTAATTTCATGAAATGTTTTGAATAGTTTCCTTCTGCAAGTACCTGAATGCACTATGATAAACTTACAAAATCTTCAGCTTCAAATTGTTTGGGTTCTTCCTTGCCTGCCTTTTTCAGAGTCTCACATTCAGATGCTTTGTTTTCCTGTGACCCTTGGCTTTTACCAGACTGAAAGCTCCTGGTGCGAGCACGTGAACTTCCATTATGGTATCCTGCTCTATAGTTTAAATTTTCTGTTCCATTTCTGCCTTGTGAACGCCAACCATTTCTTTCTTTTCTTCCTGAATGCCCTTGAGTGAGATTTAAAAGATTAAAATCAAAATTACATGCCATGTTGTACAGAATTTATTACAGGAAAATGTAAGTGCAACATAGTAACTGAACATTTTAAACTAGTTCATGTTAATAACTGATTCTATTTTATTTGTATGAATTAAGCCTTTGGACAATATATATCATCCCAATGACAACATATAAGTTTCCAGAAAGGATCAAGAAACAATAAAGACATTTGTACAACCCTAATATAATATGCATAATGTATCTACTGGTTTTAAGGCAGAGGATTCAAAACTATGCTAACAATATTTCTTTATTCATATAAATTAAATCTTATATAGCTAATTTTTAGTACCTGTATAAACCCACTGTAATTGAAAATACATGATTTACAAAATAAATCTACTTAAATCTTGATTCTATGTAAATAATAACATATGTTGATGCCTTATTCAAAGACAAAAAATTACAGACCTCCATTTGAATGGCTACAACTAGGATCCAATCCATCAGAAGAGTTATGCCGTCTACGATTAACTTCATAACGATTTTCTGTCCATGAAAAGGTGCTGGAATGTTTCTCAAAATTCAATGATGACTAAAGATGAAAACAAAAATTATACACTGTTTGTATCAGCAGTACAAATTAATCAACACACTATTATATAAATTTGATGAAGACTATAATCTTGTTTCAATAGCTAAATACTGTACTCTAATGCAATCTCATCCTTATCGTATAAACACTCTCACATTAAAGAAGAAAGATAAGCTGTACTATATATACTACATTCATTCTAATATTCAGAATAACAGAGTTGGAAGGGACCTTGAAGGTCTTCTAGAGTTATGAGCATGCACACTGAAACCTATACAGAAAACTAAGCCACTCAACATTCTTTCTAGATTTTTCTGGTTAAATCCTTTGTAGAACATTTAGTCAGTCAAGGATATGATATTATTCAAATTTTCTAAAACTGTTGGTACTACATACAGTCTATCGTTTCAGCACATGGTGGAGCTAGTGTTCTATTAATCTTGATACTGCAATCAAAGAAAGTTGCTGCTAGTTTTATCAATTTATTAAGCTGTTTCAAGCTGTAGATCTCTGGACTATTGTGAGGTGGGAAAACCTTGATACCAGGAATTAAAGTACACATGTATTCTATCTTGTTAATAAAATCAAGATAACATTTTACCTCAAAAAAGAAATGGCATTCATAAAATTAAAAAAGTACAATGTAAATTGTCTTTCAACTTATTTCCCTCTTGTTTCTTGTATTCCTCCATACCCAGTGAAATTTTGCACCAAAAATAACATTTTTATTTGCCAGTTATAAGAAATATTAACACTGAATATAAAACATTTCAGTTATAATAATAACAGTTCACCACTAAATTGATGCTAAGAACCCAAATTCAAAATAGTGGTTAAAGTGGATGTTATTAAAAAATAAGAATTGAAGTCTAGAATCCCATTTCAAAATGTGTATCAAATACATTTGTAAGGATAAGTATTTGAAAAAACACTAAAACATTTTAATTGCAGTTTTTCTGCTTTTTAGCTTAGGGATTTTTTTTTAAAAAAAAAGGATGGGCAGAATTCCCACATTATACAAAACATCTGGGTTAAAATTCTTTCTTTACTCAGTCCCTCAGTACTTCTTTCAAAACCTGTTCTGGATGCTGTAGCGCTTACCATTGAAAAAAAAAAAGGAAAGGGAAATTTTCCTTCATTAGTAATTTAATAAATAGCACAAATAACCTTTGTTGGTGGTGGAGTAGGAAAATTAAGCCAGGCTGGAGCGAAGTCATGCTGCGCCATTTAGATCCAGTCTCCCAATCAATGAAACAAGGCTTCAACACCTCATGACAATACCTGTTAAAAAAAAAAAAAGGTCGTAAGTTTTTAAATATGACATCTTTTAATCCTGGGACAAATAATTTAACAGATTTTTTTTTAAAAAAACTAGAAATACAGCTAAAGAACACAAATGCATAATATGTTTTGCATTGCACACCTGGAAAGAATATTTAATGAACAGCACAAAGAGATCTCATATTTTGAACAAAGAACTTTTAAATGTCAACAATTTTAAGTGACATTATGAAAGTTCACATTTTATCTAATTAAAAAAGATTTATATTAGCGTCCTAAGATGGTGTTTGAAAGTGAAAATGTTTCCTGCACAAATGCTTTAATCAGAACCTCCCACTATGCAAGTGGAAGAGAAAAGAAGCTTACATCTTCAATTCTGAAGGATTTTAAAAACTGGAAACAAGTTCTCAATACAATTATTTGCACTTTACTAATGAGACTTATTTTGAATCAACATGTAGAGACCACAGTATTAATTGCATAGCCTGTGGTGAGATAGGCAGCAAATAATTTAATAAATAAATAAAGGCCATTCACAATTAATATAATAAATAGAAGATAATCCTGGCCCTATAAATTGGGTGAGGAAAACACAAAAATATCCATCTTGAATTCCTGCAGGAAACGAAAGATATAAATTTAACTAAATATAATAATCAAACCATCTCCATATTTTTGACAAGAAAAATTTATGCCCACAGATACTAAGAGCTGAAATCAACAGAGACTTTACCTTAACTGGGGCATAACTTGAGGGTTCTGATCACAGAAATTAAAAATGTCATACAGTAAATGCATCACTGATTTATCCTTACCCACTCAAGTCTGAAAGTTTTGAGCACTTTAAATAATTGGTTCTGATTATATGTAAATGTTACTACTTTAAAAATCCCAAAACAAGCAATAAAATATTGTTGAAGGATTCATAAAAATACACTAAAATTATCTCATCAGTTATTGTGCAATGTATATTAAGTACATCTGGATTTCAAAGCACAAGTAGACTTATTAATATTAATGTTATTTAATTATAACATTAAAGTGAAGTAAATATTATAACTTTTTCTTAAATCAATAAACCCTAATTTTTCATGTCTAATTTAAGAAAACTAGCCTAGCAAACTTAAGAAGAGAAAAAAAAATATTTGTCGAGGAAAAAAGACTGCAGTCAAATGATTTTCTAAAAAACATTTATCTCTTATTTTGCCCAGATTTTCATCCAGGTTTTCTGTAAGAATAGTTTCATAGGCATACACACCAAATGCACAATAGATCCAATCATATTCACAATATTTATTCTGCAACACTTTCTAGCAAACTGCTTTCTTTTTTCCCCTTCCTTCCTTCCTTCCTTCCCTTCTTTCTGCTATAGAAAATGCCAGTTCTATTTATATTACAACGCCCTCTTCTACTTATTGAAATATAGACAAGAATAATGCAGACATAAAAGACTGACGTGAAACATCAAGCAGTTTTTATTGTTTCAAGCACTGGTTCTTCATTTGACACACATCTATGGCAACCATGAAAGAGATTTCCCCTCCTCAAGAATATTTCCCAACAAAGCTGAAGATAGCAGGCTATTATAAAACATTGTTAAGTAATTTTAAAAGAATGAATAGAGAAATTGCAAAGCAGGATATCGGATAGATAAAATTCTACTAAAGATAATGTATATAACTTGTTTCATAACCCTAGCTTGACAGTTTTCTTTACAAGCTCTGGCAATTAATACTGAAGCTGCAAAATGAGAACATGTTTTCTCCTTGCCCTAACAATTGGCAAAAGCATGTTATTTCTTTCAGCTCTAGGCTTGCTGAACATAAGCAGAAAGGCAAAACAAATGATAACTTCTGAATTTAAGAAGAAAGTTGGAGGCATATTTTTCTTTGTGCCTGCCCTGTTCCTTCTTTCCCTTTCTAATAGGGACCAGTGAATTTCTTAGCACTTCCTAATTGGTTGACATGCCAACTCCCCAACTAAGTATATGTTGCTCCCAAGTTAGAGAACACAGAATAGCTTTTTTTCAACAATGTGCTGAATTTCTAATATGTTTGGGAAACTAATGGAATGATCTCCAAAGCTGTCTAAATACATCAACCCTATTCATAATTCCACACAAAAACATAAGAGCCAATATTTTGACAATCAGCTTTGTTAATATTTTAGCAGTATTCATGAAATAAATAAAAATGTGTGGTCAATACCAAATTGGTTTTCATTTTTTCTCGCAACCTTTGTAATATCTAAAGGTGCAATGATTTGGAATTAAGTGATTTTTCTTTTCTTGCAGGGAGGAGAGGGATTCTGTCCAGCAAACTCCCTTTCCGATTCAGTGACCTGAGCATGGTGAAAGAGAGGAATTCTCTTTAATGGCAGATCACTTCTGCTTTTCTATCTGTGAACAAAAGAAAATGTTCTTTTCTCCATGCACAGAATGGTTTGGTTAGCCCCAAGGGGCATGACTCCATCCATGAAGGGGCAAGTCTTACCAGAAAAGAGATTTCCCACAAAGCCCTTTAAAAAGCTCTGAAAAAAAGAAAAAAAAATAAAGCAACTGTTTACCAAGAACAATTAACAGAAAATGCAGGAATATGCTCAATGTTCATAATCAGTAGCTGACGGAGATTTTATACATCAGGTTGATTTGGATTCCACATGTTGAAAAAGCCAAGGAGCGTTTTTTCTACAAATAGTGCTACATTTATTTTTATTTATTAAACAAATTTATATGACTGCCCAACTCACACACAAATAACTCTGGGTGGCTTACATCAAAACCCCACAATATAAAAACCATAAACCCCCCATCCCCATCGTAGAAGCAACACAATCAAATTTATTAAACAAATCATATATGGCAAAAAGTTTTATATCCATTTATATTTTTTTTTAAAATGGCTCCCTATAAACTATTACTGTAAACCAGGGTTTTTATATAAATTAATATGTTGACTTCGAACTCCCTTTCGTGCAGTAGAATAAGACAGTAACATCAAACCTCAACTTTTTACTGGAGGAGATGACTCAACCATTAGGTGATCTTTTTAATGGCATTTTACAGGGTCAAGAGATTCCTCCCTCATGGCGTACTGCTTTTATATCATTGATTCCAAAGGAAGATCAAGATCTTACTTTACCTAAGAATTATAGGCCTATATCTCTTTTAAATGTGGATTACAAGATATTTGTAAAAATCTTAGTAAATAGGCTTATGAGGGTTGTGCACCACCTTGTGCATAAAGATCAATCTGGGTTCATAACTGGAAGGTACATGAAAAATAATGTCAGACAAATTATTAATTTATTAGAATATTTAGATAAAAACAACCAAGTTCCTGCAGGGCTGATATTTTTAGATGCTGAAAAAGCCTTTGATCAATTGAATTGGCATTTTATGTTAAGAGTAATGGAAGAGATGAATTTTGGTGAAAAGATATTGCAAGCTCTTATGGTAATATATCAAAAACAAACGGCACAACTTATCGTTAATGGAGGTTTGTCAGAGGTTTTTACAATAGAGAAAGGTACTAGACAGGGTTGCCCATTATCACCGTTGCTGTTTGTCTTAACACTGGAAATACTGTTGATCAAAATTCGAGAGTCGCAGGAAATTAAAGGAATAGAAGTTAATAAAAAAGAGTATAAGTTAAGAGCTTTTGCGGATGACTTGGTCATCACTTTGTCGCAACCTACTTATTCTGTAGTAAAATTATTACAGCTGATTCATAATTATGGTTTGGTTTCGGGTTTTAAGATTAATGTTAATAAGACAAAAATTTTACCTAAAAATATGACTAGTCGGGAGAAGCAGACTTTGGTTAACTTGACGGGTTTTGAAATTGTTAATAAGGTAAAATATTTGGGGGTGATGCTATCTGTTTCTAATGCAAAATTATTTAAAAATAATTATGAAAGGTTGTGGGTTAGGGTACAGAGAGACTTGAAGAATTGGGAAAAGTTGCAATTATCCCTCATGGGAAGAATTGCAGTGATAAAAATGAATATTCTACCCAAGTTTCTCTTTTTGTTCCAAATGATACCGATTTTGAAGAATGAGATCAATTTAACTGAGTGGCAGAAAGGCCTTAATAAATTTATTTGGGCAGGGGAAAAGCCAAGGGTTAAATTTAAAATTATGCAAGATTTCCGTGAGAGGGGAGGACTCAAGGTGCCGAATTTGAAATTATATTATGATGCGGTGGTTTTAACATTAGTTAGTGACTGGGTAAATTTGACAAATTCTGATATACTTCACTTAGAGGGATGGAATTTACTTTTTGGGTGGCATGCCTATTTAATATTTAATAAAAAAATGGATTGGGCTTTTAAATCTCATATCTTAAGAATTTCTTTACTTAGGGTTTGGAGAAAATATTACAAAAGTGATTTTAAAGTACCATTATGGGCCGTACCTTGGCATGCAATAGAAGGAATAAAAAGAGGGGTTAAAATGGATATGGTGTCCTATAGACAGTTACTTAAATGGGATGGACAAAACTGGCAGTTAAAATTACGGGAAGAGTTAGCACAAGAAAATATTATTTATTCTTGGTTCCAATATAGACAATTATTAGATAGATGGAAGATGGACTGTAAGGTGGGTTTTTACAGAGAAGATGAAAATCTTATTAAGCAAGTGAAGGATCAAAGACAAACCCACATTAAGAGGATCTATGGGGTTTTAGTTGAATTGGATTCAGAAACGGAACTAATTAAAGATTGTATGATTAGATGGGCGCAGAATTTTGGTGAGCCAGTTCCATTGGACACCTGGGAAATTATTTGGGTGAGAAATGTCAAATTTACACAAGCACAGAACTTAAGGGAGAATTTTTATAAAATGTTTTATAGATGGCACCTTGATCCACAAAAAATGTCTTTTATGTACCCTGACTTACAACCTAAATGTTGGAGATGTGGTTGTATGGATGCTACTTATTATCATATTTGGTGGTCGTGCAGAGAGATAAAAGCATTCTGGATTAAGATATGGTGGA